AAAGACAGAGTCTTAAAAGATCTAGAGAAGAAAGACACAACATGTACAGAAGAACAAAGATGATGACAAAAAATTTCTTGTTGGAAAAGAGCTAGACAGTGGAACAATGGCTTTAAAGTACTAAAACAAACAAAAAACACAACAGGGATGACAAAAACAAAGAAAATCTCTGTCAACCTAGAATTCTATACCCAAATGGAGATATCTTTCAAAAACAAAGCAAAATAGGGGTGCCTGGGTGGCTCAGTTGATTAAGAGTCTGACTTAGGCTCAGGTCATGATCTGAGTCCTGAGATAGAGCCCTGAGTCAGGCTTCCTGCTCAGTGGGGAGTCTGTTTGTCTCTCTGCCCCAGCCCCCTTGTGTGCTTGCGCTCTCTCTATCTCTCCCTCCCTCAAATAAATAAATATTTTTGAAAAGTCAAAATAAAACCTTTTTCAGATATATACAACCTGAAAGAATTTATTTAGCAAATCTTTGCAAGAAGATATGTTAAAGGAAGTACTTCAGACAGGAGAATAATACCAGATGAGAAAATCTGGAACTATCCAAGGAAAAATGAAGACCAATGGAACGGTAACTTAATGGGTAAATATAATAGAATTTTAAAATTATTTAACTGTCTTTAAAAGGTAAGCAACTTTAAGACAGAAAGTAATAATGTAGATATAAGTCTATGACAATAATAGCACAAAGGAAAGTGGAAGTGTACAGTTGTAAGGTCCTTATACTAAATGTGAAATGGTGTGCTATCACTTGAAGATAGACTTTGATAAGTCAAACATGTGCAATATAAGCCCTAAAGTGATCAACAAATTAAGAGTTATAGCAAATAAAACAACAAATGAAATAAAGTATAATCATAGAAAATAATCCAAAAGATGGTAATAGGAGAGGAAAAATAAAGAGCTGATGGAATAAGTATAAAATTATAGCAAAATGGTAGATTTAAACTCAACCATATCGACAATCATATAAATTTAAATGGTCTAAATAATTCAAAGAATTACAATCTATGCCAATAACTGAAGTTACTTAAGACATGTAGCTGGAAAATGAGGATGCATAAGAAAAGCACAATCACAACCTTCCAATTTACATGTATTTCCTTTAACATGTGTAATGTTAATGTTAATGCTCTTAGAAGTAGGAAAGCTAAAGCAGTATTTATAGATTCACAGTCATGGAGCTCTTAGAAGGGTGGATTTCTAGTAGTGTACTGGGTAATTCCCTCTTTTGGCATTTTCAAATCTTAAATCATGATATGTCCCCAGCCATAGTATATTTCACTTATTGTGTATCAGTTGTTGGTCAGAAATGAGAAAGGGCTTTTACTAATTCTTAGTGAACTACTATTTTTATTGTTTCTTCCTTTTTCCTTCCTTCCTCCCTTCTTTCCTTCCTTCCATGTCCTTCAATTCTTTCCTTTTCTGCTCAGAATGCTGTAACAGAAAAACCATGGGCTGTGTGGCTTACATGACACACATTTATTTCTCGCAGTTCTGGAGTATCCTCCAATATTCTTATGTTGAAACCTTAACAGTAAATGGAATAGTACTAGGAGGTGAGAACTCTGGGAAATGATTAGATTTATATGATGTCATGAGGGTAGAGACTCCGTGATAGGATCAGGGCCCTTATAAGGAGGAAAAGAGACAAGAATTCTTTCTCTTGGCCATATAAGATACAATGAGAAGGTGGCTATCTACAAACCAGGAAGAGAGCCCTCACCAAACATCTACTCTTTGGGTGCCTTGTTCTTAGACTTCCCAGACTTTTCCTAAGGAAAAGAGACAAAACATGCTATGTGAATAATCCCTACTCACAAGGAATTTACAATCTCATGAGCCAAATTTAATAAAATCAAATGAAATAGATTTCAAAGAAGAAAACCAATAGTGAAAATGACTATAACTGTAGACCCATGAATAGCTTCAGGGCTACTTGGGTGTTTAGTGTATAGCATGAACAGAACTATGGGGAAGCCAGGGAAAGCTTCATGGAAGAGGTGGCATTGAGTAAACTGTTTAGATGAGGAAAAAGACCATGGAACAAGGGAAATTAGCATAGAGATCTATTAAAGAGTAAACCATGAGTATACTTACTGCTGGAACAGAGGGTCTAAGTAAGGTGGGAAGCCTTTTTTCTCAGTGGGAATGCAATTCTCTCCCTTCTCTGGGCAACCATCACATTCTTGTGTGACCTTTTATTAATTTATCCCATTCTGCTTTGAGTCCGTTAGTTATACATTTCCTATTTTGTTCATTAAATGCTAACTCTCAGAAAGTGAAGACAATCTGCTCTCCCCCACCCTCTACTCCATTTCTGTAGCCCTTCACACAGAATCTAGCAAATAGTAGGTGTTCAATAAATACTTAATTAAATGGATTTGATGAGAAGCTAGTCAGAGGTGGGTAGGGGAATGGAATAGAGTCACATGCTTGTGCTGATGAGTTTAAGTTTGATACTGGACATCACTGGAAGTTCAAAAATGTCACCAATGTGATCAAAATATTATTTTAGGAAGAAGAATTTTTCTGTCATTGCCTAAGAGGTAGAGGTGGAAGATATGGTCATCTTTTTATTGTATAAGGATTGCCTGGACATTTGGGAAGAGCTGTCTCATATAGAATATACACAGTACTGAACTTGAAGCTAATTTTAGTCATTGAAACTTTTGAACAAGTATATTTAGTCTTCTTGAATTTTAAGGGCTGGATCAAAGTACTCTGAGAATCTTGTGGGTGTGAATAAATTTCTTCATAGGGTTTTTTGGTATTGTTGGTTATAAATAGGAGTGATACCCTGCTTTGGAGTGAGATTTTGGCATGTTTTTAAAAATATGCAAGCATATCAAATTGAAAAAAATTCTGGATTTTGGAATTCCAGATTTATACTTAAAAATTTTGGGGGGGAAAGATTTATTGTATTTTAAAAGAGTTTTTTTGATTGAAATAAAACAGAACTATTTTATCAAACTAATTTCTCCTCTTTCCTGGTCTTAGGATATTTTAGAACATTTGCTGGTACTAATATATTTAGATAACTCTTCAACTTAGATACTTAGATACCTCTTCAATTCTAAAAGTCCATTCATGTGAATTCTTTGTGATAAATATTTAACATAAGGGTTTTTAAAAAATGATTGAAATTACACAAATTGTAGCTGTTGCTTGGTGATTTCAGTCAAGTTTTTTTTTTTTACTTTTGTCATTATAGATTTGAATTTATGATCTAGATTTGTTTTGAAAAAATATCTTCAGTGTTAATTTTGATTATAGAAGCATACATACATGCATATATATCTTTGTTTGTATACTGAATGTAGTATATAAAACAAAGTTAAAGATTGCTGTTTGTGAAAGAAAAGCAATGGAGCATCTCTATTAAGAATGGATTTACTGTACACCTGGGTGGCTCAGTTGGTTGGGTGTCTGCCTTTGGCTTAGGTCATGATGCCAGGGTCCTGGGATTGAGTCCTGCACCTGGGTCCCTGGTCAGGCGGGAGCCTGTTTCTCCCACCCCCACCCCCTCCGCCCCCAGCTCCTGAGTGTGCTCTCTCTCTCTGCCTGCCTCTCTGCCTACTTGTGATCTCTCTCTGTCAAATACATAAGTAAAATCTCAAAAATAAATAAATAAATAAATAAAACAAAAAGAGACTGGATTTACTTATCTGGTGGTTTTATCTTTCGTACCAAGGGGTAGGGTTAAAATGCTATGACTCAGTCTCTAAATGGACCCAATATCTAAACTAAGGAAGGGTTTGTAAATTTAACATGATATAAACAATTGGAAAAATGCAGAACAAATTCTAACCTGTATGTACGAATGAAGTGTACCTGTATCCCTACATATTTGGGATTTATTGTATTTATAAAGAAAGTTGCTTTTGCACAGATAGAAAGCCATGTCATATTTGGAAAGCAGAGAGAATAGTTCTCTACCTTAATTTAAAAACAATGGAAAAAGGTACAGTAGAGGAGCTTGGACGTAGTCAAGGGCTCCAAGTACTCTGCTATTCTGAAGGTTTTCAGAAATCAGATTCCTGCTCTCTCAATAAATAGGTATTAAAGAGGCTACGCAAACTCGTACATGATATTCTTTTTCTTGGCTTCAGGATTTTAGTTAATATATTGGCTTTTTGGTTTAATTCCAATGGCACAGCTCATAAATGCAGTGTTTTTCTTCTGGGGTAGGGGGAAAAAATCATAAAATAAAAATCTTTGACAGCCTGTCCTATTATAAAATGTAACACACTACCTAAAAAAAGAGAAACCCCCCAAAGGTCACGTGAAAAGAAGGCAGCAGCACAAAAAAATTTGGGGACACTTTAAACCATAGTTTGAACCATACATTATTCCTTAAGAAATTCTAGTTACAATAGCATGAGTGTGAGAATTAGATGATTTAGAGAAAAATTGAATGAACAATGTCAGAGGCAGGGAAGTACTGTTGCCACAAGTATTTGCTCATAGTGATGCTTATTTTCTTAGCCCATGAGATGAAATTTCAGTTTGTTTGTGAGAACTGGCTATTCCGTTCTCTGACTGGGCAGCGGCTGTCTGAATGTTTCTGTATGAATGAAAAGCTCATCTCCCAGGGAATAAAAAAGATAAGGATATTTAGCAATACCCTCTTCTTTTTCTGAATTTTGTAGAACTGGCAGTCGTCTGATATATTGAAAATATATACTTTCTCAAACAGTAAGCCTAGATTGTCTGAATGTATTTCGCACGATAGACCCCTCGGGCAGTTTTATGTTTTGGCACAGCTTGTAGGGCAGAGACTGGACTAGCTTCCTGGTTACATTAGCATAACCCAGCCCACTTCCAACACACGCCCAGAACTACCTCATTAGCCATTGGGATTGGAGCCAAAAACATAAGACTACAGTGAATATACGAGGAATTACAGGCAAAAGAGCTCTAGACCAGCTTAACACTGAACCCATTACTTTTCCAAGCTCAGAAAAATCATACACTAACAGGAACCATTTCCCCATCTTGTTCAGATAACGACTCAAGGTTTTAAATCTATACCTTTTATCTGGAATAATTAGCTTCACCACAATAAGGCATACAGCCTGGCTGCATATACTTAAGTGTTTCTGTTAATCTCTCTCTCCCTCTCTCTCTCTTTTATTGATTTGTTTTCTGGATAGCTTTGACATTGAAAACCACAGACGAATTGGAGCCTGGCATTGAAAGGAGGTGTTCTGCAACAGTTTTTTTTTTCTTGTCTAAAGAAGTTTACTTCTACAAGAGGGAAGCTGAAAAATGACAGGGACAAAGAGGAAAAAGAAAGGCATGCTGTGGAGCAAGATGCAAACCCCCCATTGCGAAGACTTTAAACAGTGGTGTCGAAGGCGTCTGCCTATTCTGGAATGGGCACCACACTACAATCTGAAAGAAAACTTGCTTCCAGACACCATGTCTGGGATAATGTTGGCAGTTCAACAGGTGACACAAGGTAATGTACTGCATTTGATTTTCCTGTTTCATGCAGAATAGATGTCACTTCGCTTTCTTGGAAGAGTATTATGACCCAAGAGCTATAATTTGCTAGTGAAATGGATAGTTCATTAACTCTGGGGGAAATAAGCACACGGAATACCTGTACACGAAGGTTTCCCTAGTGTTTTTTTTTTTCTATTTTTGAAAGCTATTAAGCACAACCAATTTTTGAATAGCATTAATATGTATTTGCAATGTTAAAATTCATACTATGTAAGAGGAAAAGATTAGTAATTGTAGGAAAGTGAGTTTTTATAGTTTGACCTTACTGATAATAGTTTCTTACTTTCACGGAATCAAGCTATAAAATATCTCCTGGCTTGTACATAAAGTTTGTAAACCTAATTAGCACCACACAATGACCTGTTGTAGCCTTTCGAGTTGCTGTAAGCAAGGAACAGAGCTTTCTGTACATAAAGGAGGCTCTTTGCCAAGATCATTATTTGCAAAGAGAATCCTGTATGTCCTTAGAGCTTATGTTTTACTGTGCATGCTGATTTAATTCTGTATTACAGTATGTCCTGTATTTATTTCTCAATAAGAAATTTAAACGGTTGAGAAGTCTGAGTTTAACTTTCCCAAAGCAGATTCTAAGTGATATTCTGGATTTAGATATGTGTTTCTCTTGGTGAAAGATGTAAGTTAAGTGGTATGTACATGTGTGTGTGAGCTTGTGTGTGTGCACATGTTGTTTGCCTTAAAGGTACATTTGTTGTATTATTATTAGTGTTATTATGATTTTTTTCTCTAATTCAAGTAATAATTTCCTACCTGTAGCAAGGAAAGAAACCAATTTCTCAACCTTGAGGATTTGGAACACTTTCCTTGGCATAGACTCTGTAGATTTATATTTCCTTGTAGTTTTACTGTATCCCTGGCTTCAACTATTATTCATACTGTTAAATTATAAGCACTCTTTTAACTGAATTATTCTGTAGCTGGAACAAACTGGTTTGTGTATTTGTATTTTTAGTATGATTAGGAACATCTGCACTGGTGGCTTTACTTTAAGATCCATAATACTATCATACTTTATAGGATTCTATTTTCCTGAATAGTCTTATATTACATTTTTAATGACCATTTTGCCAACAGTGAAGCATGGTAATCTTTAATAAAAATGCAAAGTAAATAATAGGTTAGGACATTTTCAGCCTTGATTTTATTCAATTTTAAATTCAAAATGAGACACTACTATGTGTTTTGAGTCTTAGGTGATTGACTTCCAAGGGCTTTTTCACCAGATAGTGTCAGTATATCTTATACATTTATTTTGTTTTAATTTAATGTAGAGTGAAAGAGAAATGTATTTTTAAAACCATTTGTAGTTTCATCTCTATAAAATATCAAGTTAATAAGGAAATTTGGGGATGTGATAAATGCCTATGATACACCCTTAGCAGTAGTATTTATGTATAAGTCCTTGGCAATTAATTGTACGGCTTTCATTTGGATGTAGATTTTTGGGGGATTTTGTTTTATGAGTCATATGTTTCATTGGTCACAAAGAAACACACTGGCCAGCCCCTGACTGAGGAGAAGCACAAAGCTTATTCAGCTCTGTACATTGAAGTTACGGATCTGGCTGCTGGTTCTCTTGGAAAGCTACCAGTGACTGGTCAAGGCTACACTGCTAGAAAGATCTTTAGGGTTTTTCTTGATACATGAAAAGACTAATCCTCCTAAAAGTACCTACTCTTTTAAAGACAATTCAAACTTTCTCAGGCTTATGCACTATGGGGAGATAAAAAGTGAAATATAAATAAATTACCGTTGTTGTCAGGGGCCCTGTGCTAAACCTCCCTAATCATTATCTTCCCCTTTCCTAACAAAATCCCAAGAGACAGCAGTCTCTTCTCTATTTTCCACATGAGAAAATGGAGGCTTAGAAAAGCAAGTAATTTTCTTTGGACCTCACACCTGATAAGTGGTAGAGTTAGGACTTGATTCCAAAGCCAACACTTTCAACATCTTATACTTTATGTGCTACACTGCCAAGATAACTAGACTTTTTCATTATACCAATGTTATTAGTAATAGAAGCTATTTCTTGGGATAGGTATGAATATCCTTCCCTTCAAATTACTTTTGCATTTAAGTTTCATCCCTGAAGTTTTTAGACTTGAAGGTGAGTGATGAGGGAAATAACTACCATAGAATATAGAGTAAGAACAGCATTTAGATATCATTAGCTTCTATTTATGTGAATGTAAGCAATCATTATCAGCTCTATTTCTTTGGGAAAATCAGAAGAAAGGGGTAATTTTTGCTCTTGCGTCATAACACAATAGAAACAAATACCTGTTTTCACTCTACTGAGCTTTGAAGCAGGTTTTCAGTTACTCAGCATAGTTGAATTATATGAAAGTTTTGAATTTAACACTTTTTACCTACAAATATGGAAAGTTATATGGTTCAATCCAGTAGTTTTTCATTCTTCCCTCTCTATAAATGCATTTAAAATTGAGAAGAATAATGGAAACTAACCTGTGAATGTATTCTATAGGTCAGATATTTTAAATTATGTATTTTAAATCACTTTATTAAAGATTTCCCAATTGTTACATATAGATGATTGTCAGTTATCATCATATTTAACTCATGTAAAGCATTTTCTGTATTGACTATACTCTTTCTAAAACTTTCTTGTCTTGGTTTTGAGACATTGCTCTTTCATTTTTCTGCTCCTACCCCTCTGTCCCTCTCTTCCTGTGAGTCTCTGCAGATTTTGACCCTATCCTATCCACCCATTAAGCGTCTGTGTCCTGGAGACTCAAGCTCTGGCCTTCTTCTCCAAGAAAGCTGGAGGCCATTTAATCAGCCCAAGAGGTTTTAACTACCATCATCCTTCAAATGAAGCTTTTTATAAACCTGAGATCTGCATATTCAGTTGTGCAAACCTGGAGTCTTCTTCTTCTTTTCCAGTTAGCCAACATATAGTAGTACATCATTAGTTTTTGATGTAGTGTTCAAGGATTCATTAGTTGCTTATAACACAACACATGCCCTTCTAAAAGTGTTTCAAATGCAACATTTAGTCTTTGAAAACAAACTGAATAACACCACCATCCTAACCAGAATTATAATAATCAATAATAATAGCAGGAATTTTTAGGCACGAATGTAAACACTGTTGTAAGAATATTTGACATTATATACAAGGCTGAGGTTCAGAAAGAATAAGTCACTTGCTTAAAGTCACACAGCAAAAGAGTTAGGATTTGCACTCAAGTAGTCAGGCTCCAGGGACTAGGCTCTCATCTTAGACTAGACTGCGTCTCACAGCAGGGCCCAAGAGCCATTTCCAAATCTTTCCTGTCTTTTGCCACTTAGCCACTAGCACACATTCAGCCCCTAGGTTCTGTTACTTCCAGTCCCCGATTATCTTTCCAACGGGGTAGTCTTCCTCATGCCTCCTGCTGAGGCCTAGTTCACTGTCTGAACCATTGCAGTCACCATTCTGTGGGCCTTCCTTCTCCCTTGTCTCCTCCTGTAGGCCATATTCTGTATTGCAGTCAGAATGATCATAAAAATCTGAACACAGCACTTCTCTGTTCAAAAACCTTCAATCCTCTCTTTCTTCTAGAATAAAAGTCCAGTTCTTCTGAATAATTTATTAGATCATTAATAATCTGGGCCCCTTGATACTAAGGTCTACTCAGAGAGATCTCTCCTCTGAGAATCCCTCTCAGTCTCCTGGGAAGATGCATGTTTTCTTCCCTCCTACTCCCTCTGTACTTTTCAGGTATCTCTATGATAGGCCTTAACAGATTGTATTATAATATTTCGATACAGCCCTTTCCACACTGGTCTGTAGGCTCTGGAAACAAAGGTAATGTTTTAATCTTCCTGTTATTACCAACTTGTATATTTCCTGTTACATAGAGTAGGTTTTCAATAAATATCTGTTGGAAGTATACAAAACAATTTAGCTCCTGCTGCCTCTGATTGTCCCATAGTAGCACGTTACCACTTGAGGGAGGAAATTAATGTTCTTAGATTTTCAGAATATATGCAACAGAAATACTACTAGTAAAAAGTACATTACAAATATGAGTAATTAATTTCTTCCAATTCCTCTTACTTTGCTGAGGTTACAGATGTGCAGCCCTCCAGACGAATATGGTAAAAGATAGATTTCCTTTGTCCCCAAAAGTGCTAATATTTTCTCCAGCCAACATCAACAAATATGAAGAGTTCATATATAAATCCAGATGCCTGGTTTCTCTTGTAAAGGGGGAAAACATGGGGGTTCCTGGGCAGCTCAGTGCATCAAAGCCTCTGCTTTTGGCTCAGGTCATGATCTCAGGGTCCTGGGATCAAGCCCGGCATCGGGCTCTCTGCTCAGTGGGGAGCCTCCTTCCCCTCACTCTCTGCCTGCCTCTCTGCCTACTTGTGATCTCTCTCCTTGTCAAATAAATAAATTTTAAAAAATCTTTAAAAATTTTTTTTAAAAAGGGGGAAAACATGGTCATACAGGGCCCACATTCCCATTTGGCAAAAATCTTTTGGACTTCAGAGAGGGGACCCCTTTTAGACAGGGCACACACTTTGCATTTTGCCACACTCTTCATTACTCACTTGTGTCAAGCCACCCTTCCTGCTAGTTTATCTGCCCAGGCCCATGAATGTCTGAACTCATCCCTAAACGAAACCTTTACAGAGAGATTACATAAGATTAGGTTCTTAACTTAGATCCACAGAACCCTTAGGTCTACGTACCTGGATTAATGTATTCCAGTAGACTTTATTTCTTTATAATCCTTTGTATTCTCTGTTAATTATTTTTTAAAAGAGTTTTCTGGGAAGGTGTCCACAGGCTCTGCCAGACTGCTAAAAGGGGAGCTTGCACCTCCTCAAAGTAAATCAATAAAAGTATGGGTGTCCTCGTTGCAAAGGAAGAGAAACCTTAGACCCTCTTTCGGCATGTTCAAGTATTTCTTAGAAACAATTTGT